GTTTTCTTTTGTGCTGTTGTACGAGCGTCACTAGTCTGGTAAAGGAGGAGGCTACGACGGAGGCGTGAACGAGTGACAGGCAAAGCAAGTCGAGTTTGTTTGACAGCTTTTGTGTATGTTAGGTGCAAAGCTTGTGCTGAAAGCGACTGTAGTTTGACCCACCTACACTACTCGCAGATTCGCGCGCACGTTTAAGGCTATGCACTTAATGTACAGATAGCACATCTGCGGACTGAAGTGGTTTTATTGGTTGTGCCCAGGATGAGTTGATAAAACTGCTTCAGCTGAAGCTTCCTGTTGAGCTAGTGCAGCTGGTCAAGTGTGCTGCTCCAGCTCGGAGATGTTCAAATTGCATGGCCAAGCCCCGAGTGAAGAGGTCTTCCCAGTTGCTTTCATGGCTCCTATTGTGCGTCAGACCAGGCCGTAAGTGGCTTCTTGGTATGAGGAATGGCTTGTGGTGTATCATAGATTAGACTTCGTCTCCGATTTCGTAGAATTTCTTTCCCCCACCACCGAGACACTTTTCGCTCAGCTGTTGCTGGCGCGAACTAGAAGTTGCATATAACTTCCAGATAATCTGGAATACGAAACATCTTGCACGAGCTTCATTTGTATTTGCATGGACTGCCCGACAGGAGTACCTTGCTTTGCCTTCGGTTTTTGGTTTAATTCACAGGACAAGTATTGCCTTGCCACTGGTGTTACGTTCCCACAATGACAAGCTTTTGTTTTATTGCAGATGCATAAAATTGTAAAGGTCAAAAATAACCGCACTTGCATCTAATTGATGTTTCAATGCCATTCGTATGTTCACTTTTGCGGCATTCGCGTGTATGGGCGCACAGAGGAAGCCGACTCTGCTTCGCCAATCGCCAACTGCGGGGCTTTCGTCGTTGTGGATGTTCCTGTGATGAAGTTATATTATAAATTCTAGTCAGGTATGCAGTTAGTATTCACGAGTATTCGCAAGCTGTCTATTGCCAGAGGGGAACCATGCTGATTTGCCAATTTTCAAATTTCTCCAATTTTGCATTCCACTTTGTTCTACCAAAATGTGGAGACCTCCAATTACGGGAAACTGCTGCTTGAGTCTAGTGTAGCAAACGATTTGATTAGGCCTATCGCCAACATAAATCATTCGCTCTCAGGCTGGCTAGGTCGAAACATAAAGCTACCTTGCGTTCTGGCCTAAGTAGCGGCACTGCGAATTGTGGCTTGCCCCAAATGTTTCGAACATCTGCACAGCAATGACGGGAAAAATTCCCTTCAGATAGCTGTGTTGCAGCATAAAATCAAACAGTTTCGCTAATGCCCGCGAGCCCACTAGCCGCAGCATCAACAGTTTTGCGGTTCTGGAGTGTCAGCCAGAAACGCTTCAGGTTTGTTGAGTGTACAGAATAAAGATACTTTTTTCGGCAGTTGCACTGAATGCAGCATTATTGCAGGACAGCACTCACCTTATAGACAAAATACGTGAAAGGACTGCGACAAAAGTAATCCCAGTGTTGCTCTGCATAAACACGGGCCGCACTGAACGCAGCTTTATTGGGCAGCACTCGCCCTACGGACAAAATACCTGACTGGACTACGATAAAAGTGATCCCAGTGTTGCACTGCATATGCACGGGCAAGGCACAAAACAGATCTCGAAATCACCTCAGCGATTCGGACACACGTAATGCCACAGCTTTGATAGGAAAATTTATTGAACTCAAAAAGGTGCAGCTTCTTTCATCAACGAATATAGCCATTCGCATGTTAATTTACCGTCTTGAAGCCAATTTCTTCGCTACAGTTGGCACACACAGAGCATGCGAACCCGACTAAGCGATAGAAAAAATCTCAGCAGTGGTTTGAAGAACTTTTGTAAGTCAGAGAGTCCGGAATTTGCCTAAATGTCTTAGTTATATCTTTCCCTTGAACAATCATGAACATAGAAACATTCTGTATTCTTCAAATCAACTTTTTTGTCCCCGGGCAAAGCAACACAACAACAGAACCCAACTATGTATTTCTCAAGCCCGGCGAGACAGAAGCTTAGTAGAATCCGAACCTTAGTAGGATTCTGAGGCTCTCTGTAAAGGCCCTCCACCTAGAGCCCTACTCAGGCGTCCCAAATACTAGCCTCTAGATAGCGGTTCCCCCGGCCTTTTGCGTGGCGACCTAATCAGGAAGGTAATAGCTTTGGCGCGACTCAGACGAGCAGAAATAAAGTAGAAGTTTTCACGGGCTAAATACAAGCGTTGAGGTAAAAAAGTTAGGCATGCACCCAAATCCATCACGACAAAGAGTTGAAAGCTCTATAAATGCTGAGTCAGCTATGCCAGCGAGGCTTGGGGGATGTTCACGAGGGAACGGGGCATGAAATATCAACGATGGCAACAGAGGCTCATAACTCAGATCTTACTTTATAGGAATCGCAAAGCTAGGAGCTGCATATTGGACAAGTCGTTTTGAAAGCTGAAAAGGCGTTCACTTGAGTGACTAGAAGCTAGAGGAGCTAGTTCTGTACACTGTGTCAAATAGACGTGAGTATTCGTATGCATTTACCACTCAAAAGAATTCGAAGATGTTGGCTGCCGACACATTTAACGACAAGCCCGCCAGGATATGCAGCAGCTGAGGTTGACGCAAGCACTTGGAAGTTTTCCAACAGAAAGTTAGCATTGCCCTTACTTTTATATACCACTTTGGAAGCTTGGACACTGTAAACTTGGACGCTAAATTCTTTTAGGTTGGCGTAGCACGCTAGGGAAGTAAAATGCCATAAGGGACAGACTAAAGTACAGCAATTCGCCAGTGACAGTACGCTGAGTTTGGAGTAGCTTTACAGGCGAGGGCCCGCTCAGAAACACAGGACCGCCCATGAAGCACCGCGCCTCTTCAAGCATTATTCTATGCCACAATGCGTGAAACGCCGACAGTTCATGACGTTTGTGTCGAGGTGACTCTTGCGTGCATTTGTTGCAGCATCTGCGGGGCAGTTGTTTACTGTAGCATGCGTCACGGCATATTCTCCTAAAAATCCCAGACGCCTCAGCAACTGCGCCACGGAAACATAGTTAGCAGAACGTTGGAAACCCATGGGCGTGGCTGCTGTTGGTATCCCAGGATCTAAATGAGCTCATGATGCCATGAGTGGACGCCGAATAAGCATCCCTCGAAAAGCAGGGGTGCAGCCTTCCAAGACGTTCAGCCTGTTTGCGCTGGATGGCTCATGGCACGGCTTGATTAGAAGCCGATATATTTAGCGTAAGTCTTAATAAATCACGAAGGCGTCATGTGGACTCCGGTGGACGGCAACTCGCGGACCCAAGGAAAGCGGAGGCGCCTGCAATTTCACAGCAGGTCTTACACAAATAAGCAGGCGCCGTTGCTTCACGAGCAGCGCTTTAATTGCTCCAATTTCTGATTTTTCCAGATCTGTTTTCCCGTATGCTCGGCTGTGACAAGCCCTACCCTTGTAAAAAGCCTGGGCGGCTCGAAGAGGCCACTTCAACGGGCGCTGTTACCGGCGTATTCAACAAATTTTCACCCACTGAAGGCATGGAACTCATGTTGGGATGGTTGCCCAGCATGAAACGGAAACGTCGTCTCACTTCGTCAGGGTCTCTCAAGCAGGAAAACCGACGGAATTGCACAGGCCTCTACATTGCGCCAAAATAGTTCGAGAGGGAGTATACGCATGAAACGATTCAAGAAATGTGTGCTGACGTGTAAAGAGGAAGAGTGGTGAAATGCTGCCCTTGGCTGCAGTGTCGCGCCTCAACGGGTCGCTAACCCCCCTTGGAGGTCCCCTCTCATTTGTGACCCGGCCACCAGTGACTCCGTTCCGAGCAGTCTCTAATGCTTTCTTTTTGTTTTTACAGGCTTCTTGTCTTCTCATTTATAGTTCCACAAAGATATTTTGGTTGTGATCGAAAAAAGTGGGAAAGCCTACGAGGTATGAGGCGCGGGTCAGCTGTGCGCGGCATGATTTGTGAAGGTCCCCCCTCCTGCATCAGCAGCAGCGTTGTTGCTGTGGGAACCTTAACCCTCGTGTATCTAGGCTGAAATACTGCATCGGATTGAATGAAGAAGCTTGTTGTTTTATCGCAGCTCGTGCAGCTTAACGGGGGGTCGGGCCCGGCACCTTTATAAGGGTTTGCAGCCCTAGGCGAACAAACCGCAGGAGGCTCTTTCTCACCTGGACGTGCCAAGGACATGAGCCGGGTGATAACCCCCTGGGGCAGTACCGCATATATGTATTTTCCTGTGTCAAATCTGCTGTTCTTTCTGTCCCCATCTGCTGCTTTCTCCATAGAGGAACAAACTCTCACTCTTCGCCGGTAAAGCCGTGAGGCGGCCGCCCAGGGCAGCGCATCATACTCTCCCCGCAACTCTGTTCTCACTTGATCGTCTCTTCTCCTTTTTCATCCGATTGATTTATTTTTATTTTTATTTTTGAAGAGTGGAGCCGATCGGTGTACGAAGGGCCGAGAGCGTGTGGATGCACAAGCGGTGACCTCCCCTCGTCCGGCTGCCTTACAGACGCTGCGCCACCATTTAAACGGTCTACTTTGCTCTTAAAGCACATTTTTTCATTTGTCCGGCTAACCTTTTGCAATTTCTAGGTTCTGTTGGGATACGAGGGGCTGATCCATTCGCGTGTGGACACCCGTCAGCGAGCCACCCCGCGCCACGACGTGAAGCGGTTAAGCAGAGTTATCTTGGCCTCTTTCTTCCGCTTCTCAGGCTCTGTGCCTGCTTATCTATCGGGACCTTCACCTTTTACTTTCTTTCTTCACCGTTTTAACCGTCGTTAAGGGGGCGTATCCCCTGTAGCAGACACAGAGCCCCAAGTGTGGGAGAGCCTTCGGTTGATTGCACTCCGGCGCTGGCCGCGAAGGTGTTTGTACGATGAAGAGCCTGGTGTAGTGTACCAGCTGTTGCAGCATACAGCGTATTAAGCTTCCTTAGTTTTCATCTGCAGAAGTTTGGGGCTTTATCGCCGCTGCTGCATGCCAAAGCTTGGCTTCTGGGGCAGCTGCCGCATTCCAAGACCGGCCTTCAACATTTTTTTGGTTCCGAGCAAGAGCCTAATCACCCTCCCCTTTCCGTTTGCCCCTTGTCTTCTGTAGGGCGGGAGGAAAGTGATAGCAGCGTTGGCGGCAGGAGCAGACGGACATTGCCTCCACTGCAGCACAGCAGCAGACACATGCACAGAGGCGGCTGCGTGGAGCCTTCGGCTCCAACCTCTGTTGAGGAAAGTCGGAGTTTAACTCTTGACGGAGAGTTCTTGACCGATGAGGCCTCAGCTGTAAGCGCCCGAAGGGGTACTCAGCGAACCATCGGCCCCACTGGTGGGGGAGCTCTAAAGCGGCTAAGGGGCCTCAGTGAGGAAGATTCTGTTTCTGTTGAAGATAAAACTTCTCCAAAGACGCCGGGTACATTGGCCAGTGGTGAGAAGGAGAGGTGGAGGCTCTTGGAGCAGTTATCTCAAGTCATTCCGACGGCTGGGTCTCTACTCCCAGAAGCGGGCCCATCGTCAAATCAATGCGTGGACATCTCGAAATCGGGAGAAAGCGAGACTCTAGACTGGGAAGCGTGCAACCGTGCCTTGGACAGGCTCGTGAGGGCCAGCAAACCCCAAAGCAACGTGGACGTCGATTGGGACACAGGCCCTTCAAGTATCACTAGGGATCTGGGTTTGTTCGATGTGCCACAAGGAGCAAGTTCTGACGTTCATGATTCCCCTGGTACCTACACCCAAGAGCACAATGACCACTTGGCTGCGTTGGTTGGAGCGCCATCGGACGGCTCATCTGTGTTCGTTGCGAAGGGTGGACAGGGCGTGAAGCGGAGCAACAGCAACGCGGCAGACCCTATGAAAGAGAGACAGAGACGAGAGCTGCAGCAGCGAAGGACCCTTGATTTGGCTTCGCAGATAGTGTCGAGGTTTAGAGGAGCCCGTCGCCCTGGAGTGTTGCAATTAGTGCATCGATTTTTCTCTTGTAGCAGCCGTCAGGTACGGGATCCCCAGGAGCTCGAGAAGCTTGTGGGAGCCTGCTGCTACATCATTGCAAGGCAGCAAGGAGATGACATGACATTAAATGACGTGACTGCACAGCTGGAGAGGCGGCAGGGTACGAAGGGGAAACAGCGCTGCCGCTGCATTAGCCGCTGGGTGGTAAAGGTGTGTGGCAAGTTGCAGCTCAGATGTCTTCCCAGACACGGTGATGTTGAAGTATTGGCGTCGAATGCTTTGCGACGAATTTGCGGTCATCTCAAGATGCTGCTGACACAGCAGGAGCAACAGGAGCTACTTTTGCTTCAGAGTCTGAAGGAAGCGTACCGACAGTGTTTGCAGCAGGATGCTACGGAAACCCACGATGGCAAAAGCAACCAGCAGCAGCAGAAAGATACGGCTCTTGCGGAGCTAGACGATGAGGACTTACTTGGACTGCTTTTGTTGCAGCAGCAAGAGGAAGCCGCTGCAAATGCTCCCGCCATAGAGGTCGGGTCGGGCTCTACTGGAGAGGATGGTCTCCCTGATCTTTGCAATTTCCTGGAGCAGTTTGACCGGGATTGCAGTGCAAAAAAAGTGCAAATAGAAGATGAAGCTTGGAATCAGCCAACAGCGGCAGTAGACAGAGAAGTATCTCTTGGTGCTGATGGTTCAATGCAACTGGCAGTTCCTACAGGGCGCAGAGAGGGCAATACGGATTCTTGTTCCTCTAAGTGGGATACTGTCGGTCCTTCCGATGTCCAACTTTTGGGGCAACAAGCATCCGATCCCGCTATTCTTGATGCACAGATACAGCAGCACGAGTGCGTGTTACGGTTGTTGCGACTGCTGCCGAGTGCTCAACGCATTAAGCTAGATCATTCGATTTGGCTTCAGAAACAAAGGAAGGCGGCGCTGCAGCAGCTGCGTGAGCAATCTGCTATCGTAATAAAGTGTGTAGGGCTGTTGCAGCAGCTAACAAATGTGGCATTCGCAGCTGCAGCCAAGAGAGGATGCCTCCCCGCCCCCTCAGTAGCCTCTGAAGAATGCGGAAAGGAGACTGAGGCATCGGAAGGCCTTCACGCAGAGGCTCAACACATAGATGCGCAGCTAGGGATGCGTGTTGAGGGAGAAGATCCACTTGATGAACACTGGGTGAGAATCTTCGTGCTTTGTTTTGTGCTAAATGTGCAGTATCTGGTAATAAGCAGCTATTGTGGATCCGCATGTATGGAAAGCATGCCCAATGGGACATATCAGGGCTTCAGAGAGTGCCTTTGTGACCTGATGGCGTCGTGTGTTTTACAGCGAGCTTGCGGAAGATGCGACGCGATTTCCACAGCGGCTCACTTTGTGATCGTTTTCGAGTGCCTCCAGGTCAGCCTGCCTCCGTGTTTGTCGATGTCTGAATTATGTCTGTCGATTTTGTCTTTTGGTCCTACGCTCTCTTTCTTTCCACAACAGCCCTGACCCAAGCATACCAATCTTTAGATGGTCTTTGCCTCTTCCGACAATGTTTCTTTCTCCTCGTGTTCCTTAGGGTGGCAAAGTAAAGCTTATATTGCCGCAACGTGCAACAGTTCCTGCAGACGTGCTGTACGCTGTGTTTGTACCTCCAACATTCTTTATTTGCTCAGGTTCCCGTGTTCCAACGAGTGGTTTTGGAGGCACTTGAAGTGGATCGTCGCAGCGTCTACAAAAGACGTCGCGAGCAGCTTCATGTTGTGCTAAGCATCTTCAGGTTAGCATTGGTGTTTTGAAAAAAACAGCACGTTTTGCATTTATCCTGACATATGCGACTCCTATTCCGTGATCAAATGGGCAGCTTTTTTGCATGGTGATGGTAGAGACAGCTGTGAGATGTGCTGTTACGGTTTACGGTTGCAGGAAGCTTCCTGGTGCAGAGGACGCAACGGTCAAGAGATTGGGCGCCCTTCTGCTAAATGCTATCAACAACCCAGAGACGACCAAGAAGCTGTTGCATATAGCGGAAACTGTGCCGTTGCGGGCGCCTGCTCGCGAGGGTCTCGATGCCCTGTCGGAGGAAAGGTCCAGCGCCAGTGGCCAGACTAGTGGTCCACATAGCAGCCAGACGCAGTCTCGCTGCAGCACGGAAGATGTCAACTCGAGAAGCAGCGGAAACAACCGAGGCCACAGTCCTGTACGGACTGCGCTTCCTGCGGCTTCAGCGAGGCCTACGGCTGCGCCTGGGGGTACCTTGACTCCGAAGGATCTGTGTGCCGCCGAAACAATTAGCAGTGCTGCTGCCGCTGCTGCTTTAAAGGAATTGGAAGAGGGTGATCCTGTACTAGCGGAGACTCCGATGGCCCGTGTGGTGTCTCTGCAATACGAAAGGACACAACAACGATGGGTCTGCAAGTGGAGGGAGGGGCTAGGCACGGGAGGCCGTTGGCACAGGCGTTGCTTCTCTGTTGTAAAGTATGGAGAGGATGGTGCTCATACGCTAGCTGCCGCCGTGGCGAAAAAGCTAAGGGACAGGCGGAGCCAGGAAGCTAGCGGGATGAAGTTTAGTAGCACCACGAGTTCGGATATATCACCGGTCGTGGTAGATTTTAATTCAAGTGGTGGGGTTTCAAAAAGGGGTACGAGAGGGGCCACAGCAAGTGAGCCGGCTGCTCACAACTCACATACAGCTGGCGTCACATCTAGGATTCGTAACAGGCGTACTGCAGCAGGTTCATTCACAGCTGCCACAGCTGCTTCTTTCGAAGAGGCAGCGATCCGTCAAGACGCAAATTCTTACTCTTTGTCTCATCTTGGGGAAAGCAACCGTGACTCTCTCATTGCAAACATGCCGACAGACCCGAACCTGTCTTCTGTTGTGGCTTCTGCCGCTTACAGCGATGAAATGGAGCGCCTCGCGCAGCTCCTGCAGAAAGCTAGAAATAACCCATTGCTTGCGAAATGGTTGGATGAGAGGGCCCCGCCGCCTGGAGCAGCTGCATTGCGGGCTGCAGCAGAATCTATTGTTCCCTTTCTTGCGCTCCAGACCGAAGCAGACAAGGTATCAGCAGCAGTCCCTGTTCCTTTCGGACAGAAGCAATCTCTCCCGAGGAGGGGGAGAGTGGCGGGAGCAAGAGAAGGCATGTGACCTGCCGTGCGCCCGTTATGATGAGACCTGCACTTGTTCTGCCCTACCAGAGGCCCGTCCGGTTTGTGAAGGCGCTCGGGCTCCCCTATACTGTCAAATGATGCACGACATTTTTGGTAAGATTGTAAGGGAGAGCCGCAAGTGTGCGGTGCGGTGGTGGGTGTTGGCTAGCACGCTATTTTGTAACCGTGCACTTATCGCTCGTTTTGGCAGTGGAGATCAGCTATCTTAATGTGGAGGGGTCGTGCTTCATGTCACCAAACAGCCTTATCGCATATGCGACGCAGTGAGCAAAGCCCCTTATCTTCTTTTTGACTGCGGGCATTTCGGTGTGTGGATATTGCCTTTGTGTGTGAGGGACGTGCGTCAGAATTCAGCGTGCCCTTTAAATATGTACACTGTACGCAGCAACATGCATGCATGTATTCATCGGATCCTGCGTGCCTACTGTATTGCCTCCGTGGGGTTGTGAGCTGTCAGAGCTCGATGGTTTTGCAAACGCAGCCACCCAAGCCATCCTCGAAGTGATGGCGCTCTACAGTGTGGGAACACACATTTCCATGCAGTTTTGGCCCGTTCAGTTGCGAACTTTCTAAGTCGGGCGGGGCTTCCTGCGCTGGTCGTCAATTGGCGGGAACACGTGGATCAGAGGCGCGATCTGGGGTGACCCAGTGAAGCTCACAGAGCAAACATTGAAGAGGTCTTTTTCGAGCGGCATACAACGAATCGGTTTTACTGTTTCCTCTTGAGCCGCAGTAAATCGCGTCTGTGATTTCTTTGATCACCCGCAAGCTAGGTACCGAAGGCCCTTTGCAGAGAAGTATGAAATGCGTCACAGAATGTATGCAGTGGTAGTGGCAGTCCCTGTGAGCCACAGCATCAGTAGTAGGACCATAGATAGAGTGCACCGGGGTCGTCCTCCTGTATAGGTTGGATCGTACCCTCTCTCTGGCGTAGGATATTCTGGCGTGAATGGACCGGGCACAGTGTCGTAGTAACTCAAGGCGCGCCACAAGTTAACTACTCCGTTCGTTCCAACAGCTCCTGCAGACAGCACTGGGACGTCTGACACAGCAAATCAGATTACGTTGCCATACCACGAAAATTGCGTGATGCATTCACATTGGCAGGCGACTTATTGGTATGTCGAAGGCATACCCGCCAAGGCTTTGGATCCCGTCACAGAATACATTATGGCTTGCTCTACTTTCCTGCTTGCCGGCTCGGTGGATACCTGCCATCCTATGGGGTTGGTTCTCTCGAAATATCCCCAAAGAGCGGCAGCCATTCCTGCTACAACTGGCGCGGCGAAGGAGGTGCCGTCGGAGTAAGTGTAGCCTGAAACAGCTCGAGCACCACGAGTGGCGGGGTCTACTTATGTTTCGTTTGCGCAAAGCAAGTTTTCAACGTGCTGGACCCATTGCTAGGGGCTCCAAGTTGGGGAACCTCATCAAGGTGTGAGCCAGCACTGGAGAAGATGCTTTGCTCTTGGGGCTATCGCTTTGCCCTAAAGAAGCTAGGGAAAAACCTGTTGGAAACTCACAAGAAGTGCAGCGCCGGTTCCCTGAGTTAGCTCTATAATTCGTCCCAGCATATATTAAGGTCCCAGGAGCTGCAACGTCAACACTTCTACTTCCGTAGTTGGAAAAGGAAGCCCTGAAGCCCGATATATCGCTTGCCATGACGTTGACCAGCCCGCGTAAGCGGAATGCCCCAGGAGTGAAACTGAGAAGATTTGTAATGCAAGCAGTAGCTGCCAGAACCGCTCTTTGGAGCAAGTGCAAGCAAAGTTGATCATCAATCACTCTTCTACCAATAATAGTCTACAGAATTCAAGCAACTGGGAATGACCATATTCCCATCTGGATTAGTTTGCATTCACTGACACTCGCATTCGGAGCTCACTAGCATCTTTCGTTTTCGTCAATATTACACCCTGCATTTCCCGCCGCTGTGACAATCAAGTGGTCATGTCTAAGCGCACGTAGAAATGCTTCATATTCCGCAGAGACGAACCTGATTTGTCACGAGCAGCGCATCTTTACAGGCTATTTAAAGCATGATGACAATTCCGGCATGCAAGAAGATGGCACCTGCATGCTTGAAAAGGATAACCCACTGGGTACTGTATCGCGCAAATGCTAGTTCACATGAACTGTCTGAAGTCATTTTGCCGCAGGCGTAACAAGGTTGATGCTGCTTTTACCCCGGCCCGCCGTAAGAGTGGTTTGAGATCCGGGCCTTCATCTTCACCGCGTAGTCAAGAGCCGGGATAGTTGCAGAGGTCCAGACACCTCGCTCGCTCCCAACACGAAGACACATCACCGTCGGATTAGGGAGAACACCTCGGCCTCCCTTTCCGTCATGAGCACGAGCAGCCGCCACGGAGGTGACTGATGTGCCGTGACCGGAATCATCTGTAAACGGGTGTCCATTGTCTTCAACAAAATTCTGGCATGACAGGCAAAGAAACAACACCGTTGGAAAGCCTACGGCATACGTAGTGGTGCACCATAATTTTTTGGGGAACTAACTACTTAGCGTGACACGTTCTTAACTAAGCAATTGCTCCACGGTTTGAACACAAAGATACCCAAAAGTTTGTATTCAGCATAAAATCGGGAAAATTGACCATCCCTTTTTTATAAGCGCAAAAGAACCTGTCCCGTTGCCCATAACGCTCACTAGCGTCCCATAAAATACCACTGCTTCCTCAAAAGCAAGTCACCCCACACAGCTCTGACTCCCAATGTGCTCTGTAACAGTGCAAGTCGATTTTAGCTACTTCACCGCTGCCGTATATTTGCATGAAGATGCTGCACTTCAATGCTTTTCTTGAAACACGCTTTTCTTGGGACTAAACGAGGTGGGCATGAGAATAACTTTCTTACCCAGCCAAAGCAGTCGTCAATATAGCCATTTCCATCATTATCGATGCCATCAGAGCAATCTGTCTCGCCTGCATTGTCCCAAAATATGCTCTTTGCAATATCAAAGTCGTCAATAAAGTCTTGGTGCAAATAGCATCCAGTATCCAATATCGCCAGCACCACAGGGTTTGTATCTGCTCCAAACAAAACCCAAGTCCTTGTAGTGCTATAGAAACTTTATAGTGGTATTCTGCTTGAGCGGTCACCGTTGTGTAGTCAATGTAGCCATCAGCGCTTTTCCATAGTGAACACGTATGTTCACTGGGAAAGCAGCCGCCAAAGCATTGCGTTAAAGTGCTTCGTAATCGAGAAGGCAGTCTTTCCAGTGCTCCTAGTGAGGTGCGCTACTAGTGCTGGCATTAGTTCAGCGTCTGTCCATTTTGATCCATTTTTACTTACTTTCTGTCGCCTCTAATTTCTGCCATGTCCTGTCGGCTTCAACGGTAAAATTCCCAAAAAACGAGTGCAAGTACCACTGTCTCATTTGAAAAGGATCGCCAAGTAAGCCTGACGGGGCCCGCAAAAGCTGAGGCGACGTTGCACCGTTGTTGACTGTACCTTTTATGAGCTCTTGCAGTGACTTGTTCCCTTGTGAATTTGCCGCTAGTGAACTCAGCCGTTGAACATCTACCTTCCGGTCCAACGATATCTTGTCTACGCACGCTATGGCAGCAGTTATTACCCTTCCGAGCGCCCCTGCCACCTCATCTGTGCCACTGGAGAGCGATTTCGCCACTTCCCTAATTTTGGGCAGAAAGTCAAGAGTCGGTTGGTCTGACTGTGCGTCACACACAGATATGAACAAAGGAAGTTGAAGCGTGCCGCTTACTCCTTGCAGTCGGACAGAGCCTGGGAATTGAAATCCGCTGTCGTGGTGTTCTTTTCAGCACGTCATCATTCAATTTGCTGCTGCAAAGCTCAAATGGTGAGAAGGCCGGAAACTCTGCTCAACAACTTAGGGGCTGCTGAGGCTATTCAAGATATATGCTCACAGTGCTGGTGCTGATGCGAAGAATATCTGTGTTAAGAGCTCCGTAATACGCTGCCTTCATCGACGGGCCTTCTAAATACCTCATTCTGAGCCGGTCCCGGCAGTTCGCTAAACAACCTGTTAGGCTCAGGCCAAGCTTGGCATGCAACCCTAGAGCTCGTGCAAAAACCCAGAGGGCAAGGTGACGCCCGTTTACGACCTCACGGGTCGAATGTTCCTGCAGCTCGTTTGCTCCCACGCGGTCTTGCATATATACTCCACCACGAAGAAGCACAACGCGGCCCTGGAGGGCGCTGTCTCTTGCACCAAATACCTGAAGCGGAAAGGTTTCCCTACTTTGAAGCTCATGCAAGGACGGCGGCACTTTCTTTGGCAGGCCTTGCAAGCACTTAGGGTCCCACGCAACTATGAGTCGGGACTGTTTTTTTCCATGTTCTTGCTTCCCCCACAGATCTGCGAGGTCCTGCACCAAAATTGTTAAATGGAGAAAATGACGAGGTCTCCGTGGGGCTGTTTGTTGCGATTTGCGACGAGAAGCACGAAAAAGAGGAAAATACAGTTTTTGCCATTTTGGCTGCACAGAATACTTCCTGATAAATTTTGCCAGCTGAACGGAGGCCAGGTGCTTGCCTCTCGAAAATTACTTCTGGTCTTGAGGGGGCCGTAAGTAGCCGTATCATCTTCCTTGCCATGGTGCTTGTACGCTCCCGAACCGCATCTCTTCCTGCGCTGTTCAGGGTCCTGAGGAAGCCGCTGCCTACGCTCCTGAAGGTAAAAGCTGGCGCAAAGGGATGCGCGCAGATGCTCTCGCCGTAAGGCTTCACTGTTAGCAAGCGGCGTTTGCTCAGTGACCTCGTTGGAGCCACAAGAGAACGCCTTGGCAAGAAGCAGCACCCCGATTGCCTTCAATGTGCACAGTCTCAGAGCATACATTCTCCTTTCCAAGAAATCTGTTGAAATACTTACTTCTTCTGCTTACAGTGAAATATGATGCCCTGCTGTACTCAGTTCTGCCTAGTGATTGTGCATATGATGCCGCTTATAGGAAGCGGCATTGGGATGGGAAGATAAGGGAAAACTAAGATGCTCAAGTCCCGGAAAGACTACCACAGAATGTTCTGACTACAGTTTGGTGTTAATTCGAATCCCTTCGCATCGTCAGCTCAGGCAGAGGGAACTCCGACGTAGCAAAAGCCGCACAAATGGTCGGTCAGTCTATAATGCAGCCCCTTCCTTCATGAATGCTTCAAGCATCTGGCAACGCATTTTGTGAAAGCAGTTACACTCGCTTTTACCAAATCTACTCTTCACTGCACCATGTGCATGTGTGCCCCTCCCGAGTGTTAATAGACTCGAAGCCGCACTGCGTTAACAATGCGATCCGTCGAGTGGCTTTCTGACACTCAGTAAAAAATGAAAAACGACTCGCACTCAAAAAGTTAGGCCTGGTGGGCTAAGCTTTTTGCTCCAAGTCAAAGCGTACGGAGCTGCACTGAGTAAATGTTCAAACATGAAGGCAGCGCAAGTAAACAGTCGCTAGCATTTATGTTCCCTCTGTCCGCAAGGCCGACAGAAAAACGCAAAATAAAGCGTCGCAGTATATATGAAATTCCATTTAGAGCTGATGCAAAGTTCACTGCCCCGTTGGGACTAGGGGTCATTTCTTGAGACGTGACAGCAACCCCACCAGCGCCAGCAGTACGTGCAAGACAGCCAGCGGCAGCATTCGCCACCTAGGAATCCTTTTTACTACTCAGAAGTGCGTTTCGTATTTAGTGAGGAGGGTGAGAGGTATTTGGCTTGAAAGCCATGCTACGGCAAGCGACGGAGAAAAATGTGAAGTCGCCTGAACCGAACACCCGTTCTGGTTATCACCGAAAGCCTCAGACCTTTTACATAGTCGTCTCTGTAGATATCTTCATAATTTTCCGCACCTTATGCAAGTTCCCGATTCCATGAATACCCTGTCGCAGTTCCGACGGCCAGTGGCAACAACAGATTGCGGACTTCACTGCGTGGAAGCGCTGGCCGTTGTTCACGGAAGCAACAACCATGGCAGGGGCAATCTTGTCGACTGAGCGCCGAGGCCGGGAAATCGAGCACAAGCAGGATAGGGCAGCCTCTTCGAGGGTGGTTCCCCGCTGCCGTTCTCGCTGCACGAGGGGAACCCCGATCCCTGCGCGACTCAGCACTACAAGCAGCGGCAGTGTCGGCACGAGCACGCGAAAACGGGAGAGTGAGGTGCCTGATCCTCACTGTGACAAGGAGAACTCATGTTGCAACGTAGCCGGGGTAGATAGTGGTGCAGCCACCAGTCCCAGCAGCGCTTGCAGTGCAAATACCGGCAGGCCACCTAAGCTTCAACGCAGACTTACCAGCAATGCTTCAGCCATGCATGGTGCGCCAACAACTCATGGCTCACATGACAGAAAGGGAGATGATTCCGGAGGGGACAGCGGGGCACCACGACTGCATCGCGAGTTAAAAGGGCTAATTCACGCGATGCCTTTGAAAAGCCGCCGCGTTTCTGCATACTTCCCTGACTGGAACCTCAAACAAAAACTTGATTACCTGCTGAAGATGGGCGTGGTCGCGACAACTAAAGTAAACGAGAGCGAGGAGGTCCATACACTCAGCATCTGCAGCCAGTTCGCAGAAGAAAATCACTTGGCGCTGCTCCAAGACAGTGACAGGGTGTCGCATTACAGAAAGGTACACGAACCAGCGAGCCCCTGACGTTCAACAGTTTTTCTGGTTATTACACGGTATTATTGGTCAGAAAATGACGTTTGGTTTGGATGCTGCTATTTGTTTTTGTCTCTTCATTACAGTAGCTTCAGTTCTGCATTAGAAATTAGCCTTTGTCGTTTGCTCACTTTGAGATTCAGGGTTTCTTTTCTAGTGCTTATGGTTGGAGTCTCTATTTGGCATGCAGAATTTGGTCAGTGGGGGGTACGTGGGTTATTTAGAGCCCGGCAGATGAAGACTGTCGTCTCCTGTTTTCTGTGTTATAGGCGATGCACTGGGTAGGAGATCCTTCTAGTGGAGGCAAGAAACTAGTAGAAGGACGTCGAGTGCTCGAAATTGGCACGGGTCCGATATGTTTACTCTCCATAAATGCAGTAAATGCAGGCGCCAAACACGTTGTGGCCCTAGAGGCATCTCGCCCTTCCCATTGCCGGGCCAAGAAGTTTGTAGAGGCGATTGGGATGAGCCACAAAATCGATATCGTGCACGGCTACTCCAAGCGTATCCCGGTTGAGCTGTTCAAGAAACCGGAAGTGGTGATACATGAAATCATTGGCGACTTCGCTTCTCAGGAGGGTTAGTTGCCGCCCTTGGCAACTTTCGTCTTTCTTTAAGTAATCGGCATCTGAGCAGTGCCAGTTGGGTACAAAGTATTCAAAACGCAAACCGACCGTGTGCATCCCACGGTTGTGTACGTTTTTTGGGTGATTTTCAGGGGTTGCAGATGCCCTTCTGGACGTGCAGGAACGCACAGGCTCCATTCCTTTAAGCATTCCATTTGGCGCGGAAACTCTCATTTGCCCGGCCAGTTTGCCGGAGCCCGAGCATTTCCTTTATCCTGCGCATTCTTACGAAGTAAGTCGCGCCTGCATCAACGCTGATAATGTCTTTCAGAGCTGCCGTGCCGTCCTCGTGTATGAACCTGAAGAGAAAGCACCATGTGTCATCTTGCCTTAACTAGCACTGCAGAGACGGTATCGTAAACGTGTGAATTTTGCATGGTTCATGTTGTTGAGGTAACTGGGAATGCCTATGCCTAGGTGTGATGTGTTGTCGGGGCTTTTCTTATTTGTAAGGCACGATATTGTAGCAGTAATGGGAGCTTAGCTGCAGTGTCCCCGCAATCTGTGTCTCCATTTCCTCTTTTTTTCAGGGCCGGAGTATTCTCTCTCCGCGTCGAATTCTTCTCCAATCCGTACGGTTGAACACAAGCCATCTGTTGTTGAGTGAAGAGTTTCAAGCATTTGAGACGCTGAAGTTCCAAAGCCCCATGAAAAATCAGATGGAGCAGAGGAAGACGCTCAAGTTTGTGATAAGCAAACCTGGTTCCATGGCGGGGCTTCTCACTGTCATCAAGGTAAGCATTGAACGAGCAGGGCTCCGCAGGACAAGGTTCCACAGTAGAGGCGCACAGCCAGTCTTTGTCTTGCTAGATGCAAAATCTACAGGCCTCTACCACATTAGTAACCAAAGCTCAGAATGAGCCTTCCGGGCTTTCTGTTGCTTTGACCATTGCCATTTAGATTGAAATATACCCTGGGACATTCTTTGGGACCTTCCGAAATGGGGAGACGGACTCGTGGTATACATCGTTGGTATTGCTGCCAGAGGAGGTGAAGGTAGAGCCGGGAGACGTTGTCAGCGTTGAGTCGTGTTCGGACATGCGGAACTACTGCAAAGTCAGCAGCCCCAAATCACCTCTAAAGGCTGGTTCCAAGACAGATATGGGCTTTGTTCTTGTGTCCAAGCCCACCTACTCTTTCACTGTCAGTATCTACAGGCCATCCTTTAGCTTTCGCAGGGCCTACAGAAGTTTCCCACAGATTGTTGTTCCCTTTGAAGAACAGGCGCCAGTTCTCTACGGTGCTACGCGCAAGTATGCAGATAAACGGTAACCGTGACGCTGCAGTTTATAATTAACTCTGGACTATTATTGTTTAATGCATATGCGGGCAGTTTATGCCCGTCTGACTGTCAACAGCGCTCTGTGGAAGCAACCTGACTTCGAAGTCACGTTTATATTCTATGAGTGTAACGTCAATATTGTCGAAAGCCTTCGAACGCCGCTGAAGTCTGCGGCAGAGCATTGTTCTTCCGAGTGGACAGAGCTGTCTGACAACACCGCTGAATTTGGAGTATTGCACAGGCAGGCCTACACAGCGATTCTCGCTATTCTCTGCAAGACTGCTCGGCTTCATAGTACGTTAGGCTTCATAGTACTTTACAGAGCTTACCCGAGCACAGCAATAACTGAATTTAAAGGAAGGCCATCAGGCCCTACTCTGTGTCAGCTCATGTTGAGGACGCGTGCGCCCTGCTGTAGCTATCCCGCGACAAGCTATAACACTGGAAACTAGAGCTGTTGCCTAGCTAGCTGGGGTGCGTTTGGACCTCCTATGGAAGTATCCGGCTTAGATGACTCCAAAGAAAATCTGGAGCCTCAAAAGTCCTTTCGATTTCGCACTGTAACGACACTTTCATTTCCCACGAGTGCCGAACAAAAATGTCAACCGTATTTGCACTTAGCACTTATCACGCCAAGTCGCACCACTTACAGGCGACTCCACCAGTTACGTTGAATATAGTAGACATATTGTGCGCGCCTTCTGTAGTGCCATAGTACTTGACAGTGTTCCAGGGTTTGGGAACGCTGTACTGTTCTATAGCTTGTTCATTCGTGACGGGTGTCCCCATGTGCCATAAAAGTCATTGCACACCTCAAAACCACGATTTCTTCTTCGAATTGAATCAGCCGCTGCATGTTGTGCTCAGTGGCTCACTGACATCCCTCTATGGAGCTTGCTCCTGATTCACAGCTTTTGAGGAACACGCCTCTTCAGCAGCACATGATCCAGAGTGCACTGGACTGCAATGTCTTTCTTGCAGAGAACAACCCTGCTCCTCGCAGCATGCCGCTCCTTTCTCCTCGCTGCTTGCCTCCTGTTTGCTTGCAGTCATGTTCACTTGGTAGTTACTGCTGTGCTGCTGCCGGGTCTGCCACGCGGCCACTAAAGAGGGTTAAGTTGGTTTCACCATCTACGAAGCGCAGCTGGAAGACAAAAGGCTTGTCAATGATAACTTTTATAGGTGTCTTGGGCATTGGCATCGCGCGAAGCATCATGATCATTGCAGACGCAGCTGTTGCCTCTGTCCCTTCTTCGTTGACGTCGATGTCTGCCTGGTGAACAAAAGAAGAAACAAACAGGTCACGGTCTCCCGTCATTCCAGAGAAGTCTGCCTTGTCCACTCTGAACATGTCCGTGGCTCCCATGTTTCCAAAGATCTCAGTGAGATCGACTTTGTTGTCGTCTGCGGACAGCTTGAACTTGGGCACAGTGAGGTGCACTTCTTCTTCGAAACTCCTGTCGTTGGCGCTGGACTCCATGTCAGATATCGCGGTCTCAATTAGCTGAGGGTCGTCGACCATGGCCTTCTCGAAGCTTGCCAAGTCGTCTGGCATGAACAAGTACAGACGAAGGCGGGCGTCCGAGTATGGTAGGCCAACAGCAAGGAATTCCTTCTTCATAGTGACCAAAAGGGGGGCCTTATCCATCTTCCCCCTCATGAACATAACCTGCTTCGGTCCAGCAGGTGTAAAGAAGACGCCTTGTGAGGTAGCAACATCACTGAACTGGGTGAGCCAAGGCGCTTTGAAGTACAAAGCGTTGACCAAGACCAGGCGCGTCTGTGCTCCAAGGGCTGATGGACTCACAAGGTTCTTGATATGTTCGCGTGTGGTGGCGGCAACAAAAGCATTGATTTTCTCAGCAGCAGCCGCCCCGTCCGAAAAATCAATGGTCTCGGCCTCGTGTTTTTCACCCTCAAGTTGCTTCTTAAACTTGTTGAACTGCTTATTATTTTCCAGGCCAGGATGCACGTAGAGCCGGTTGGCCACATCGATAGTTACCGCGCCGTCTTTCCGTGGTGGCTGTATCAGTTCGGGAATTTCAAAGCTTTCATTGGGACCGACCAGTGCGTCCATCTGTGCCTTAGTTTGTCCCGCTGCTCCCTTTTGTGCCGCATGAAAAACGCTAAAAATGCTAAAAGGGGAAAACACGAAGTTTGGCTTGGCCGCAATCCTAGCGCCTGCGATTTCGCCATACAGGCGCTCCGCGGTGATCCTTGAAGGCTCCATTGCGCTTGTCATGGAAGTGAAGGGAAAAGCACCAGCTACAGCAAAGGCCAAATAAACGCCTTTTAGCTTACTTAGCAGAGCCATTTTGATTCAGGCCAAATAGTTTACACAAACACAGCAGAAGCAGTACAAGGAGAGGGTACGACGCTCACCACTGGCTGCCCTGGTCGTCCAGGATGACGCCAAGGTACTCCTGAGAGATGAAGCGACTCGTTCTTGAATGCACGGAAGCTTGAAAGGTGAATGAAAAAATAAAAATTTAAAAAACGAAGTAAAATGAACTCTTAGTCAGGAACAACGACCACGAGAAAGCGTTGTCGCGTTGCTTTCTTCTTTTGAGGCCGCTGGCGCCCAGAGTGGCTCTGCGATCGTGGGACACTGGGGCGCCCAGCGCCAACACAAGGAGCCACGATGCAACGTCACGCGTCAGAGTCTACACAAAAGGATTGCACATATAATAACAGGGATAAAAATAAGTAAACAAATGCAATTGAACGCCATGGAACGTACAGTGAACGCCTTTCGTGGCTTCTAAGGGGGTTGCCTCTTGGGAAGCTCGACTCGGAATGGACGCTCCAATATAGTAGCTCCTGATGCGGCTCCTTTTCTCTTGCTTTTGACTGTACCCCGCTTTAGTTTATTCCCAAAGTTCGAGCAAATTTGCCACTGTAATAGAACTAACACCATTTTCAACCGTTAGCACCAGTGGAACCAGTGGAGCCTTGAAGGTTAAGTAAGTCACCTTTAGGCAGAGGGGTTCTAGCTGCCTAAGTTTGTAACTTGAGGTCGTGCGCATTTCTTCGACAGTCGCAATGCGTCTAGAGGGGAATGTTGGCCGCCAGAGAGTGCCGAGACTATCCGGCAAGATACTGAAGAACAGATATCGGTACCGCCTGACCATCTGAAAAGCCTGTTCATGGCAGATAGGGCTTTGGTACAAGTTCTCGTCACTAGACGCCTTACGGACGAAGACCCTTCATCGTGAAATGACCCACTCAATCTTTAATGTTGGAGCCACTTCTTGAGCACGTGCCTCACCGAACTGAAGCGCGCAATGCGTCTAGAGGGGAATGTTGGCCGCCAGAGAGAGCCGAGACTATCCGGCAAGATACTGAAGAACAGATATCGGTACCGCCTGACCATCTGAAAAGCCTGTTCATGGCAGATGGGGCTTTGGTACAAGTTCTCGTCACTAGACTCATTACGGACGAAGACGCTTCATCGTGTCGGTGGAGGCAAGGCTGTGAGAAAGAAGTTTGGGCCTCTAGGAGGAAGCAGGCACGAAGTCAACAGTCGCAACTAAAGAAAAGAGATTCTTGAACACTGACACTGACTAAGATCCTGGGCCTCAGTGGAGCCCATGAGTCCTTCAATCAAGGCAACCTTGTTCAGGGCCTTACGACCCATCTACCCAGAAGCAGTTGGGAAAAAACGCCGACCAGGAATGCAGTAAAGCTTTTACTTAGTGCCTGCGGTGATTTAAGTTTTCAGGTACCACAAAGAGTTACGTGCCAGCAGCACCCTCTCTACACAGAGCATGTTGGAACAATGGTTCAAGAATCGTTGTCTACGCAGAACTATGTGTGCGCAGTTTCTCTTATGCAGCTTCTGCTTTTAGCCGCCGCTGAGTGTCTTTTTTTGCAAAACAAATGTGAATTCAATGAATGCCACCAGGGGTCCCAACAAATGTCATCGTGACTTGGTGCTGTGCTTTCTCTGGTGGGAACACGCTATTCTTTCGTTTGGTGCCACTTGTAAAAGAGAAGCACTGCATAGTCACTGAGTGTCTTCAAACCATTGCACAGGCACCTAAATTTCTTGCCACTGCTGACTTCGCTAAGGCAAAGGCTTTTAGCACACCTTTTGCTACCCGTGGGCGGCTTCCACTTTCCTAACATTTGGGGTTCTTCGGTCGCGCTGCTGAAAAGGTTAAAAGACTGCATGCGTAGCTGCGGCTCTTATGATTAAGCTGGGGAAATCTCGGTACTGATAGTTGGATAATTTGGCAAAAGAAGTTGGCAATGAAGGGGGCCTTCAAACCACATAGAAATTGCGATCTAAACGAGCAACGTACCGGCTCATGCAGGTAAAAAATGCTCAAGTGCATGCCCTAGGCTTCAAATCTTAAGCATTTAGGAAGGCCAAAGCTTCGACGAACTGTACAGGAGATTACGTTTGGCTACCCATGCCGACTGTCATGAGCATTAGACATAGCTGGCTTGTTTTACTGAACTGCCAACTGAAGCCTTTAAAATATTCTTCTTGGTTCTAGCATGAGCCTGCATTCAGTTCTAGGAAGCCACAATAAACACACGCCAGTATATAAAATAGTGACATACTGCACTGTAAAAATTATTCCTAGTTGCCGCCTAAAACCATGTTGAGCTGTTTAAGCTAATTTGACTGAAAAGAGTCCTAGTTTACAGCTGCTATTACCCTATTGTTTTGCGTTCCATGAAGGACAAGGCTGAGTCCTGTAGGGCTTTTTGGCGTGCACTGCACGGAACTCCGTTATGCCATTGTGAATGGAAGTTATGTGCCCTTGCTCAGGGTGAGCATGATCTAGGCAGGCAGTGTCCTTCCTGACTCAAGGCAAGCAGTGTTTCAATGCGTGTGTATTGTATCCAAAAAGATACGCCGTGCCAAAGTTTCCACAACTATCTAGTGCAAGAGCCCTCGCCGCCCTTTCAAAAGTAAATCTCCTACATGCTCTTTATATCTTCTAAAACACTGTCAAATGCGGGCATCCCTCCAACAAACTGCCAAAGACAAATGCAGTGGCACTCACAGGGGCCCCCTACCCGCAGGTCTTCCGATTGCGTGGGGCGCGACCATATCTTGTCAGGCCCCTGAGTCCAACTGTTGATTCTTCTCCCTATTATTTTTTTTTGTCTCGCATTGTTCTTGACTCACAGAAGGGGAGTGACGCCAAACTCCAACTAGCAACCGCGCCGTCCAGTCGGACAACTGGCCAAGTAGCCAGAAATAAACACGCCAGTCACCCCTTGGTTGCCCAGTTTATGTGTTTGTTAAGCACTGAGTAGATCGATTCCAGGAATTGCCGTCCTTTATCACAAAGACGGAGGACTCGGAACCTGACAAGGGGTGGCGTTCGATTGGGATTACCATTCGTTTCTGCGGCCGTGCCGCAGACGCCGCCGATACATCTCATAAGCGTATTCTTCTGTTTCTAGTCCTCGTATAGGTCGGTAACTTACCTGCTCAGGCCCAACCTATACGACTGGGGGACGCGCAGCGGTGGTCGCCGCCCTTGCCTGCCGTGCCACACAGTGTAAACGCATACTGCGTTTCTGCCATGCGGGCTCCTGCTGCGGTTCTCCGTTCGGCGCTTACTGCCTGCGTCACCGCGCTGACACTGCTCTCAGTTGCACAGGTAAAATAGCACCTGCGCAAATCGTTTCTAGGGCGGGGATGGCAAATCCAACGACGGCAGCTCAGAGAACCGTACGAGTCTCATTTGCGCAAATGGAAGTATAGTCCTGGTGGTTGCGCACCTTAAAATTTACGATTTTGGTGCCAAAGGCACATCGTTTAGATCCCACTCCTCTGCCTGTGTCGTGAGCTGACTGTCGTCCGCACATGCGAAGTTTTGTCCTGACCAGTGCCCATCGTTGGATGTACGTACCGCAGTGTGTTTGCAGGCGGGAAGCCAAATGTCTATGACGGCCTATCGACCGCTGCAGTACAGAGCGGCAGCGGGCTTCCCTTTGGGGCCTTGGGGTAGGGCTTCGCTCCAGGGCGCATCTTTGTGCACTTGTGAGAAGCTGCTAGAAAGATCTGAAGAAACGCCAAGTGCCTCTCGTCGGCTCCTTTGTGTCTCTCGAGCAACGGCGCTCAACTCTCAGCAGGTATCTTTGGGTTATTTTTATAGATGCGTGCTGTTTGGCCCGTGCGCGCGCAAACGTGAACACAGAGACAGACGCAGACACTCACTGACACTCGCAGGTGCATATGTTTGTGCTTGCATACGTGCTTGTGTGTGCGTGTCTGTATGTTGTGATGAACGCATTAAGGAACTGCTCTGTTTCCTGCACGCCTCAGGTGGATTGCGCGTGACGCGGGCTTACATTTGCGTGTCTGTCTACGGCTTGTTTCTCAGGTGGAAGCACTGTTGGGCACTTCGCACTTCGTGCTGCTGCTGCTGCCGCCTTCGGGCGTCACCCTGAACGCAACAGAGGCGGCGGAAATTAGGGAAATTGAGAAACTGTTGCTGGACAGGCACAGCACTGCTGCTGTTGCCTTTTCACGGGAGACTAGAGACGCAACTGTTCTACTGGAGAGGCTCAATAGGGACGGTAAGGCATTTGTAGAGGGTAGGAAGTATTTAATGCAACAGCTTGTGCACTGCAGTGGTGCTTAATAGAACATAGGGAGAGGGTCATCCGCGCCTGCTGAGCTCACTGAATCACGATGGAGCAAAGCTGATGCCAACAGTTGCCGCCTACTGTTGCTGCTGATGATGCGATGGCTGGCTCAGAAGAGTACGATGATGCCCCCGCGAGAACGCGGATGCTGCGCCCTTACTTAACGACCTATACTACGTACTCTCAGGAGTGGCAGCCTATCAAATCAGTCAAGGGCTCGACGCTGACAGTTCGTCTTCTTAACTAGCATTTGCAAATTCAGAATGGATTTTTCTGGCATCACGTGCTCAATGCACTGCGCTTATACACGATATGCTATTAGTACTCACGTGATGCATTTGCGAGAATTTATGTGTACTCATCCACTCGCCCATATGTGTGCGTGCTGGCCTGTATTATTCCTGTCATTTGAGGTATGTGACTTTGAGATATATAACTGTATACGCATATAAATATGTATATATGCGCCCATGTGCATAATTATAATGTCTATCATGCACGTATATATATATATGTATAATGCATGCATATTTGAAAGTATGTACATACGTACGTGCGTATACTTTACATAAACATGTGAAACACCGGCATAGATCGTGCACTGCACGTCTGCACATTCATATCTGCTTGCTTTCTTGCGAACATTCAACAGCGCTCATGAGCTCGCAATTAGTTCACGAGTTAGGAGCTAACACTTATGTTCGTTACCCGATTTTCCCCTCAACATCGAAGTGGTTGCGCGTACGCGTGAATGTGAGTCTACAGTGCTCTACCGTTCCCTTAAATTGTATTTTCTCAAGAAAAGAGCAGTAAACACATCTGATTTGTGTTGTTTGTGTAGTCGTGGCTTCATGGGCAACCTGGGCAAGATGGCTCCCTTCCGCCCACAATAGTATTTGTGGCTCACCATGATGCCTTCGCTGCCGTGCCGGTAAGGTGGCCGCAGGTTCTTTCCTTTGCTTTGATTGCGTTGTTTAAATACGCGCATTGAGGGTAAACGCGAGCCTTACAGCTATGTGTTGCAGAAGCTGTCAAAATGACAGCTAAGGACATTTTTGTGTGCTGCTTGCAGCATTTCGCGACGGGCATCAGCACTGGCGGCAGTGGACTCATAAGTAAGAGCAGCTGATGCACATATATACCTTGACTCGCATATATGTTCAGGGGCTTGCTCGTGTATACTTTTGGCGCATACATATGTATGGATAATTTTGTAGCCAGGTTTCCTTTGTGCACGTTGTTGATTTGTCTCTCCCTGCTTTTTTGTTCCCTGTCAACTTTTGGCGTCTGCTTACTTCCATGCATATTCAGGGGTACTCTCGTGTAGGAGACTGTAAAGAAGTTGCACAGAGTCTTGGTGCCATTTGTTAAGAACATTGTTTGTGAAAGTGAACTTCAGAGGTTACCTTTCAAAGTTTTGTTTGCACAACAGTGGTGCATGCGGTTTCTTTTGCCACTGACTTCCGTGCAGCTCTTCTTTGGCTTGCTCGAGAGTTGAAAATGTTTTACAAACGAGAACCACTGGCATACAGCGTGGCATTTGTGTTGGCGGACGCTAGTGCAATGAACTACGAAGGAGTGGCCGATTGGATTGGCCGGACAGACCCACGGTGAGCTTACAGCGTCTCTGGGCTGAAGCAGTTGTAGCATATTCGGGTCCACTAAAATTATTTTTGTCCTGTGAGCTTCGAGAATGTTGCCCGATTGATGACGTGACACAGTCAGGGAAGTTAGGTAAGTTGAGAGCGTCGAAATTGAGTGCATCGTGGCTACGGTTTTCTTCTGTGTCATGTCGCTGGTTTTCCATTTATTGTTAATACCACTATTGGTGTAGCATCTGCAAATTGTTGTTTTCGTGCTGCTTGTCTTGTGGTGCCCACTTAGTCTTTTGAACGCCACTCGATACGTGCTGTGCCTTGACAATGTGGCCTCCACCGCCCTAAGTCTTCACACCCCGAAGGCATACAAAGACCCTGAAGCCTCCCGGTTTATGCAGGTTCGTCTGCGCAGTGCGAACTGCATGCCTCCTCGCACAACCCGAAATACGTACATCTTCATTTCTAACACTGCTGGTGCCTTCTTTCTTGGTAGTAGTGCTTGCATCGCTCCGAACCTCGGTTTGGGGTCTAGGCTCAGAGTCGTTTTGTAAATTTGTGATCATTTCTTGTGTCGCTGTATAGGGTGGCTTGGTTTTTTGCAGATGCTGGAAAGCTCGCTATTGGAGGAAGGAGTGCAGATGTCCAAACGCACAAAAAAAATCGCCATAGGAGAGAAGGTGTTGCCCTTTTGGCCACATGAGCACTTCACAAGGGCTAAACTGATTGCAGCCACCCTCTCAGCAGAGCCGGAGCTCAAACACCTCTGGAATCGAAGCTCGCTGACAGATGACAGGTAACTGCAGATGTTTGCGTGAATAGTTGCATCACCGTTTTTTATTAGGTATGGGCGCTGCTTTATGTAGATGCTTGCTCTTTGGCAAGATAAGCGTGTACGCGGTCACTGTCTAATGCGCCTGTACTTTCCTTAGCGTTTCACGGGTATGGTTAAGGAGAAAGGCTGCGATAAGTTATTGGCAATACTGTACATGATAAGTTGTTCCCAACTTATTTCTCAGCCTGAACAAAGAAGCCCTGGTGAAGACTGTACGAGGATTGGCAGAAGGCACTGCGCGTTTCTTGGCCAATGTGGAGAAGCCCAGTACTCGCCTGACGTTTCGCGGCGGTGAAGAGGCGTTTGACGTCTTCGTCAGCTCATGGGTTAAGTTCTGCAACAAAACTCCAAGGCAAGCTGATAAATATCATCTAAGTGTATAGTCAGATGCAAACAAAGGCCTACATGTTCATGTATACATGCTCATAGTTTAACAAACAGGAATCAACTAGCCATCTCGTTCCTGTAGCAAGACAAGCCATATATGTGCAAATAATCGCATCAGCACCCAACTGTGTTTCGTGTTTTGTCAAAACGTAAGTGGTGCTGTGCTTGAACCGTTAAGCTTGGGTCTGTTGTTGCAGCACTCCATCAACATAAAATATCAGAGGCACCACTGTTTGTGTGCTTGCTCAAGTCTCGCTGCATTTTCAGTTTTCTGTCTTTCTGAACTTCTTCAAGTCGATGAATTGCTGTAGCTAGCTGTGTGAAAGGTACCTGAAAAGGTTATTGCAGAGGATATTCCCCGGTTTTCAAACTCCGTACTTGTCACTCCGTTTGCTTGCTTTTGCTTCAGGTTCTTCGCCTACCGGAACGTGCCAGAGTACATGAGTTCGCCGTTTGCCAACCGCATTTTTGTCAAGTCCCTATCAGAGGAGATGGAGAACGTGGGACTGTCAACTGAGCTGCATGAATTCGATGTTGACATGGGCGAATTCTCCTTTTCATACGTGAGGCCGCCTTTAAATATTTCACTTTCAGCTTTGCTAGAGGGACGTGAACGATCATAATCTAGGCAGAGGCTGTTGCAACATAAGCTCGCGAATTTCGCGTTAAGGAGTGGTCACTCATTTCCTGCTGCGGATTCTCCGAATTTTTATGCATGGCATGTTTGCATGTGCTCCATATGGGATCGTGTGCCTGTTCACTGTTCATCTACGAGTGGAAATTTTTCTTTTTGAATTGGTACGCTTGAGCCAAATCCTGTGGCTGATATCAGGAGCCTTCAGTAACCATTGAGGTGTCGGAAACTCGTCCCACGTTTTTTGATTGGCTGCTTCTTCTCGGGGCTGCTGCCTATTCTTTTGCCATATATTTGGCGATCAAAGGCGCGATGTCCACCAATATACTTGAGGGTGGGCAGAAACATTTGACAGTCCATTGCTTTTCACTTGCGAATATAACGGTAACTGTCACAGGAGGCGAAGCACAAAGAACGCGCAAACATTCGGAGGGTAACTTATCGTTTCCTACGCAGTCGTGGCTTTGCATTTGCTGTCTATCGCGTTTTTTTGCTTAGGCCCATCTTGTTCTCCTGCTGTATCGCCAGCAAGCGAGCGGGGTTCGCCTCGTGCAAACGACACAAAAACGAAGTGAATGGGATTTGTGCAATAAATTGGAGAGCTGAAAAAAACGAGCGGCCCGCCGCCTCGTTTGGTCTGTATTGGCCTTCGTCGAGATTACCTACATCAGTCTTTTTCGGAGAACAAGGATGCAGAGACGCCCATGGCTTCCCTTCAATTAGTCAACTCAGACTGCTCTATCTGGCCAACAGCTACGCTGTAGTCATGGCCAAATCCATTGGTAGAGCCACCTGCGCACAGCTTGCTTCACCTGCGCAGAGTCTGGGCTTTTTTGTCCGTTTTTGCTTCAAGCTTTCACCGCATCTGCGTACTGAGGATCAGCGCTTTAATACGCGGCGAAGGCGCTGCAGAGCCACATCGGCGTGGCACTTTTCGTGAAAGCGAACCTTGAAGCGACAAAAAACCTAACTCCATTGGCTTTCGGACGGCGCATATGACGCGCGTCTTAGCTTTAATTGCCACACTGATGTTGGAATGATCCGGTGTTAACTACTATATACATAATTATATATATTTATATCTCTGTAAAGTGTATACGCACACGACAGACCGCACCACTTTGTATTTGGCGGGAAGGCCGTAGGGAGCACTCAGTGCAGACGCACATCTGTAGGAAACCGTGGTGCTTCTTGCATTCCACCCTGTCTTGTTTTGCCGAGAACCCATGAGCTGTAGTGGGCAGGCCAAGCAGCTTCTGCGTTGGAGCAGAAGCGTAGGTCGCGTGGCCCGCCTGATGCGAATTGTCCACTTTTTCCACTGCTAAGTAGCATACAGTGAACTAAACGGGACATTCTCGAAGGCATATGAGATTCTCCGGTGCCGTTACACTTCCGCAGCCTGCAGGACTCTACTGTATGAGGCAGAGCGTAGCTGCACTCGCGGCTTTCGCGTACAGCTGACTTTACAAGCTCGCACTAGAAATGTTCAAGGCCAATTATAGGTTTCAAGTCTACATTGTGGCCCCTCTGCGCGCGTCGTTGGCTTTCCGTGGTTACTGTCTACCCGGCGGTTGTGTCCCCTTGATGCAAATGTGCGTATCAGTGTTTGTATGTGACGCCCGACGATTCGCGAATGACTGGAAGACTTTCGGCCTCGCATATAAGGCGAAACAGCACGCTCCCATGGTTAGATGCCCCCATCCAGTTGCAATGTTACAGCCGGTGAGATGTTGTGAGACGCGAAGATACTTCTGGTGCGTTCTCAACGTACTCAATGTAGTCGCCAAAAGCAGAAAGTCTTGGCTTGACAGCTGAACGCTGCGGAGTCTGGGGATCCTATCTCTGTACGCGAACTCAAGGAGAGCTTTTGCTGTCGACGTTTCTCGTGGAAGGTAAATGCTTGTCGCATATAGAGCGAACCAAGTTCTCAGAGGCCGCATGACAAGGACCAAAATTGAAGCGTCTGCAGTGAACAGCAGAGGATCTGCCACTCCACCCACCGCCGTCACGAGCAGCCTGTTGTCATCAAGGGAGCTAACCACCCACAAAAGAACAAACGACGATTCCAGAAGCATCAGCAGCAGCAGCTGTCACCGTAGTAGACGCCTTGTATGTGACGTTGGCTACAGCGCAAAGCCAAACGTTGCAAGAAAAAAATGCCCGGGCATCCCATATCTCTACAATGTTGTGTGTAAAGACAACAGGAACCACAGACAGACTAAGTGACTTGGCACTCAAGCGCCGAGAGTATGACTTCTAGCCTCGCCTGTGGGTCAAGAGCGAGACCTTTGTTTCTGCCCCCTCTAGTTCCTTTGCCCTTCCCTGTGGTCTTCTGTTGCATTTCCGCTGCGCGCTCCAGCAATGAATGCCGCAGCTCGTCACCCCCGTGCAGTATGGTGCTGACTGAAGCAAAAGATAATACCCCCAGTGTACCATAGCCGTTGAGTGCCTCCATGACATCAAGCTGTACTCCCGTCGAGCCCGCAGCTGGTGGAACTGCAGCCTCCTCACAGCTACTCTCTTCAATGTCTACGCCATTTGGTGTGTCCACGCAGCTCTCGCTGCTCGCGTCATCTGCGTCTACAATCTCCACGAAGTCTGCAGGTTTTCCACTGGAAGCGGCAACGGCTGAGGGCAGTCTGGTCCTGCAAATATGGGCAAAATTGCTGAGTGCCAAGGCTGTCAGTCTCTGGGCTAGTAACACGGCTCTCTGGGGCCCTTCCGCCGCTTTCTGCATGCGCCTGCGCGTCATCTGCCGCTGCTGCAACGCAAGGGACCGAATTCGCCTGCACTGCAGCATAGCAGCAGCCGAACCGCTCTCCAGGCACTCGAGGGCCCCGGGGAGGTCCCCGTGCTGCAGCAGGGCTACAGAACCCAACGTCAACTCACCCACAAGCTCACAGGCTAATGCAGCTGTGGGGGAAGCCACAGGAGCCAGACACAGTGGGGCTGTCTTTGACACAGCTGCGCTAAGCGTCTCTACATCTGTACAATGTGAGTAGGAACCGCCTGAGAAAGTCTTGTCTGCTTTTTCTAGACCCAAAACACAGAGCGCTTCATCATTCACGTCAGCTAGAGGTCCCCGTGTCATCTCTTCCCACTTGAGCATTTTTGCCGCAGATAGGTACGCGCGCAGAATAAGATCAATGTTGCACATCGAGTGTTCCCTTAGCATCTCAGCCTGCTCGCCAGTGGTTCCTGCAAGGGCTCCGCGTGCATCACGCCAAGCCATCATCTTGCAGAATAGCAAATCCAGGGCATGCAAAGGGGCCACTAATATGTCTCCTACTTGAGCGTTCAGCAGCGAGAAAAGCAATAGTTGCTGCTGCTTGCCGCCCCGCTGCAGCCGCCACGCCGGCATCAACGGAGCCTCTGCGAGGTCCCAAGGCAGCTCAAGGGGCTTCTCTAGAGGAGGAATCACGAAATGTTGCAGTAGCAACTCCTGCTTCTGCCACCGCAACTCGCGCTCCAAGACCGACTCGTCCCACGGCGGCTCCTCGTACGGCATCAAGGTGGCTGCATCTGCTGTCGCTGCCGTGCAGACCCTGTTCGCATTCAGTCCTTCCGATGAAAGAGCAGCAGCAGCTTCTGATGCTGCTGCTGCATGCAAGTAGCGCAGGTGCGGATGGGTGCGAAGAACAATGTGAAGACAGTTCAGAGCAGCACCAAAAGAAGGGCACTCCTCCTCGTTGAGAGGCCCTGTAGCGTCTAACACCAAACCTACAAAGCGGCGATCCATTCGTACTGCTAGGGCTCCCCTGACAATGGCCAACAGCCTGCATCATGCAGGAATGTAAACACATAACAGCAGAAACAAGACCGGATGAAAAAATGGATAATTAATAGGCGGCGCGCTTGACGCAACAAACAAACCGCAGGCAGCTGCAGCATGGGAGCTTGAAGACTTGCCGTTGAATGAATACCTCTCTAGGAGGCCGCGAGAGTTCAACATAGGCAACTGTGTTCCTGTAGTTGTTTCCTCCTTCGTCGTCAGGAATATCTGCTGCCCTGCTGCGCTGCTGCTGCGGCCTTGACGCAGCGGCAGAGCTGCGAGACGCGCCTTTGAGCGCAGCGTCTCGTATTGCATCTTCAATCAGGCCCTCTGCTGCTGCTCTGGCTGAGGCAGCATCATCCCCCTCCCTCCACACTGCAAGACACACATCGGGAGCTGCAGCAGCAGACGCCGCATTTGCTGCCGCAAGTCTTGCTGCAGCAGAAGCAGATCCATCTTCTTCTTGAAATTGCACCACCCGCGATGCCCCCTCTCGCCGCCGCAGCAAGAGCCGCTGCAGCTGTTTCTTTGAAAGTGACCACAAGTCATAGATGCTAAGGCGAATAAGAGGCTGCGGGGGCGCCTCAGCAGGTGCACCATCTGTAGCTTCACATTTGCCTGCTGCAGCAACAAGCGAAGGGTTCGATATTCCTTTTGTTTCCGCAGCATGACAAAGGAAGGAATGCATCAGTCCCTCTATGTGTGAAGCTTCCCTCAATGTTTCTTCCTCTGCTGCAGCAAAGCGAGACGCCAAAGCAGTAAGACGCACCAGAGCCTTGCCCCCTGTCCTCGGCGGCATCAGCACCACAACAACACCGGGCGTGGGAGGGGCAGGTTGAGGCCCTTCATCCCCTCCCAATGAAACCGCACAGGAACGCCGCTTTTTCCTGTCCCGTCCACTAATGTCCACACAAATTGCTGTTGGTGGAGCTGCGACGGCGGGAGCAGCGCCCTGTCGACCGCCAGCAGCAGCAGCAGCAGCAGCACAAGAGCGCGCAGCAGCGGACAGCAGGGCATGCAGAGAAACAGCAGCATCGTCGTGGCCACCAATCTCCGCAGGGGACACAGGGTTAAATGCCACTGGCCATATCTCTCTCAAGTACGACAAGTCGAACGCCGCTTCTCCACCCAGCTGCTGCTGCTGCTGCTTTTGGTCTTGGCCGCCTTCCTGAGTTTGGCAATGATCCGGCTGCTGTAGACTCTGGTTGAAATCGTCTTGCTGTTGTTGCTTCTGCCGCTGCTGCTCAGCCTGTATGCCTATAGGGCACGCGTGCTGCTGCTCGCTAGCCTGTACTCTGCATGCTGGCAGCTTGACTTGCAATCGCTCCTCTTCCTGGTTAACTTCTTGCCTGCTCATGAGCTCCTCATGGTTGCTACCTTCTTCATGCTGCTGCCGCTGCTCTTGTTCTTGCTGTAGCTGGTGCTGCAGCTGCAACTGATGTTGTGCCTGCAGCAGCCGTTGCCGCCGTTTCAGCACACAGCTGAGCGTCTGCCTCACTACACCAGCAAGGGGCTGGCAGCTGCGGGGGTGCAGTGGACTGAATCGTTCACTTGCTGTTTCAACAGGGACACCCAGCGCTTCCAGCACTTGGCTCTCACCAATCACTGCTTCTCCGTCCGCTATGCCTGCTGCTGCTGCTACTGTGGAGTCGCTTGGAGGCAAACACCCTGTAACTGTACAACGAGCTCGGCGGCGACAGCGGGTTGTCAACACACCTAAATGCAACACGCAGGAAATTCCGATTAGCTACAGTAGCAGCAACTGCAGCAGCAGCAACAGGATGCCTTGTACGTACCAGCTGCCTCTATTGCAGCTCGAAGAGCCACTTCTGAAGTAAAAACAAATGGGCCAGACAAGAAAACCGTTGGTGTGCTCCTGGACGCGGCCCAGCCAAAACGGTGGTCGTTAGAGGGGGCGTCTAGAAGCTTCTTTAGATTTTCGTGAGATGCAGCAGCAGCAGACTGCGGCTGCAGCGGAGCTGACAGACTGTTTAGCCACTGGCGGCAAACAGCTGCTGCAGCGAGCTGCTCTTGCAGTGCTCGGAGCCTCTCTTGCAGTTCCTGGTGCTGCAGCTGCTGCTGCCGCTGCTGCCGCTGCTGTTTCATCAGATTCGCTTGCTGTTGCTGGACCACGCCGATATCCCGTTCCGTCCTGCATGGCGAATCAAGCGCCGCCGTCTCATTGCTGCTGCTGCTGCTGCTGCTGCTGTTGCTGACTGGAGAGCGACTGGGACACTTCTGAGGCTTCGCTTTTCTTTCTCGGGGAGAAGCTCGTGTAGCTGTTGCTGTGGCTGCCACCTTACGAGGGGCTCCGAATATTTCGCTCCAAGGGCCCTTGAGCCCCTTTGCTGTCCTTGCCGTTTGATCCCTCGCGGCGCCACGCTTCTGCTGCGACTGCTGCTGCTGCTGCTGGCCCTGTGATTGCTGCTGCTCCTGCGGCTGCGGCTGGTCCTGTGGTTGCTGCTGTTGTTGCGGCTGCCCCTGCTGATCTTCGCCGTCCACATCTATTGCGTCGACGGCGGCAGTGTCCTCCACTGGAGGCAGCCGCTTCTGCCTCTTTAACTTTTCACCCGCCTCAGGTGCAGCAGCAGCAGCATCAGCCGCAGCAGCACTCATATTCTGTGTGAGCCGGCGGCCCCTCTTAACGCGACGTCCCGTTGACTCAGTAACTGCATCGCCGGCAGAAGCAGCATCGACGCTGCTGCTTTGGGCAGCAGCAGCAGCGCCTGCTGCTACTCCTGCCGCTGCGGCAGCTGCAGTACTGAGCAGCCCACGGCTTCTCCTTTTGCTCCTCGCAGGGGTGGTCTCTGCGGCCTCACTCTCCGCTCGGGGTGTCGATTCTTCGCCGTTTTGCTGCTGCTGCTGCTGCTGCCGATTGTTTCTCCTCGTCGCCTTCTTTGGCGAGGGCGGGGGAGGGCACGACGGAAAGAAATGATGGAGGGCGCGTTGCTGCAGTTGTTGAGCTTTTGTTGCTGCTGCTGTCCCTGATGCTGCCTGCTGCCGAGTCTCTTGTGTTCCAGTCTTGGTGGGGCTCGCATCACGTGCGAGATGCAACTCACTCGCTTCCTCCGTTGCTGCTGCTACTGCTGAAGGCTGGGGAGGCTTCTCCCCCACATTCACTGCAGTTGGAGCGGCGTCTCCAGGGTTGCATCCACCTTGGGCTCCTGGCAGCGCTGCAGCAGCAGCAGCTGCTGCTGCTGCTGTCTCTGTCGCCGCATCAGCTGCCACTTCTGCTGCTGCTGCTGCTGTCTCTGTCGCCGCATGAGCTACCACTTTTGCTGCTGCAGCTGCTGTCTCTGTCGCCGCATGAGCTTCCACTTCTGCTGCTGCTGCTGCTGTCTCTGCCACCGCATGCGCTACCACTTGTGCTGCTGTTGGTTCTTCTGCTAGGAGTACTAGAGCATCTTTGCCCGCCATGATCCTCCCTAGTGCTGGTGCTAGTGTTGCTGCTAGTGTTACTCTTCAGGAGCGCCGTCTCCTGACTCAAGGGTCTGCCGAGGAGCAGCAAGCCACTAAAACGGAAACTGCAAAAAGATTACAGCACTGGAGCTTGCCGCTGCGTTTTCCTTGCGAGGGAACAGTGCAGGCGCGGCGGGGAGAAATGGCCACCCTTAGCTCTCACTTCATTGTGTTTCGTTGCTGCCAGAAATTCGGGGTTCTCCAGCCTGAAGGGCCTTTGCCAACCCCCTGGCCGCTGGTGGCCACCCTTTACTAGCGTTGCTGTTTTTGCCGCTCTTCTTGCTTCTTCCGCTGCAGTTGCTGTTGCATTCCTCGATGTTGTTGTGGCATGACGGGCAGCAGATGATGCAGAGCTACCCAGGGTCCCATATCACAGCCTTCCCGGTTCGATTGAACGGGTTGCTGCTGCTGCTGCTGCTGCAGGCCCCTACAGGCTCACTCCCGAAATGCCAAAGCTTTGCGTTTCTTCTGGTCCCGGAGGAGCAGTAATGGCTCAGGAACAAGCGAGACGGGAAATAAAAAACAAAATGCATGCACGCAAAAACCAGACAGAGACAAACACACTTCCCCAAAATGGTGGGGTCGTTGTTATGGCAGCCTCATGCGCAAGCTGACACGAAACAGCCAATGAAATATACTGAAAAGGGAAAAGCATGCAAACATAAACCGCGTAGAATTGAGGATTCTTCCGTAATTTGGTCCATGCAATGTGATTTATGTTCTGCTCCACCTCTTGTCTCCCGAAGGGGCTAGACCCAGGGGACCTGCAAGCCTAAACAGAAGCATTGTCGCTCCTGCGGTAGCTGTTGTCGCGAATACAGCTTTTATTCTTCCTATGCTGTTCCCTACTGCTGGATTAACATGCTGGTGCTGCAGGTTGGGTTCTGTGCTGCTGCTGTTCCCTGAGATTCCGTGCTACGTGGGACGCCCAGTTGTTAAGAGTCCTCTGCTGCGGCTGCGAAATGTTTCCAATTTTTGTCTAAAAGACCACTTTCTCTTTTATTATTGCTGAGTATTTCCGTAGCGGAAGGTTTCGGGATCTCTGCCAGCGCTCAAACGAAGCGAAGACTTGAGAAACGCCCCAAGCGCTGCTGTTTAGAGTCACAGTGGCCTACAATGAAAGCTTTTTGCTGCAAGCTGCAAGAACCTGAAATGACTACTCACAGCTATTTGGGTGTATCTGCAGCAGCTACCTCCTTTTGTTTATGTTCCTCGGTCCTCTTGAGTCTCGCAAGTCCCTACCGGCGAGGCGGAGCAGCCGGACACCGGCGAGATAAGGGAATTCAAGAGGCTTGTACAGGCAACTAGCTCATCTTTTCTAAAGCCTCAAATCCTCTATTTTGTGTACTTTCTTTCGGACATTCTACATCCCCGTGGCTTTCCCTGCAGCTTTTTGCTGTAGAGTCGATGAGGTGAGGTGCAGCTCAGTTTGCTGCATAAAATCTCTCCCGTTTTGCATCCGGAGTTTACAGGGTTTGGGCAAACGAGCAGAAAGGATGACCTATGGGAAACTGTACATACACGGTCCCCTTATACCATTTCCCATAGGTCATGGGAAATTGTATAAGGGGACCGTGTACATGTTCTGTCAGCTGATGCTGCTTTCTGGGGGTGAGACGTCGGTGACTCCGAGATTCTCTTCATTTCCTTGACTATCTTCCTTGCGACCTGTCTTTGACTCGGTCTTTTCGGTCCCGCTTGTTTTTGCTGATATTATGTATCTCGCCGTGTGTTGCACTGCTTAGCTGTGTAGCAGCAGCAGCAGCATAACAAGGAAGATAGTGCGTACGTAACAAAGTTGCGGCTTCCTCTACTTACATGCAGCGGCAAGTACTAAACATTGTGCAGCCTGCAGCTTTTATGGTGTTTCTTATTTCCGCAAGAGCATTAGGAGAGTAGGAGCAGCACCTGAAAAACAACTTGCACGCCCAATGCGCGTCCACGCACGGAATTTCAGAGGCCACCGATATCTGAATTCGTCAAAAAGAAGGCGGGTCAAGAAGGCAGATGTGCGACTTCCAGATTCCAACGTTAATTGCCGAGGTATTCATCTCAGTATGCAGAAGGGCGCGTCAAAGTCTGCGCCGCAAGGGCAGCAAGAGCCGAAACGGCTTCCACTTTGCCGTTGGAGTCGGGGCGTCGCAGATAAACGCTCTACACACGAGGCATGGGCCAGGAAACGGAATTTGTCACGCCGTTGTCTATGACTCTCGTTTCTAGAAGTTGATTTCAAGAATTTTCCCGAGAATTTGGTGAGCTAAGCATGCGAGCTGTCCTCGGAAATTCTGCAACGGGAAAGCGCTACAGGGGCCCTACCGCCCAACCTGTTGCGTTGAGCACGCCGCGCTCCAACCCTCGGGCAAGAGCCTACGAAATAAACAACCAATTAACTTAAAGATAAAACCAAAAGCTAATTCCTAACCTCGAAAAATTATGAATAAACCACTGGAACAAAGCGGAGGAATGACAGGAAGAGACACCCTCCAAGTGGCGAGTTCGCCAGTGGCTTGAAACTGCCGCTAGAAGCAGAGGGCCATTTAATATTCACTTTTGTTTCGACAGCTATGTATGTATTCAAACTGATTCCCTCCACGCTCATGTAGCCTTGTCCTCCTACGTGTAAATGTGGCGGCTTACGCAGAAGCCCCAGCAAACGTCAGCGCTAGTGCATCGCGTGAACTGACAGCCGCTGAAGATGTCCCGTGCAAAGCGACATCAGTGTTCAAACTCGGAAATACGAATAACCGTATTTTTATGATGTACGTGTGTAATTTGGAGAGACTCGTTAAGGCACGAAAGGGGGCTATTGGGCCCCACTGGGCTAGCTGGAGCTCCCACCGCTACGTTAACTCATCTTCGCGGAAGACTTGTCTTCGAAAAAGCACGTGTCTGCACAAATAAAAAATGTTGCACTAGAAAGTGTATTTATTTGCTTCTTACAAGAATGGGAACACCTTTTTTCATAATGCAGAGAGAGGCACAAGTCTGTTTACGAGTACGCGGCACTTGTCCATCCATCGCTCACGTATGTGTAATGCATTTATGCGCTCACTTAACGAGATAATTGTTAGCGGTGTTTATAATGACACTAAAGGTATGGCAGGTGCATTTCAAAATCTAGTCATGACGCAGCGAAAACTAGTGAGGCTGGAGGAGGGAATGAGGGCGGGTTTGCGGCGCAGGGGCCACACTTTCAGAAAGCACAAAGCCGGGACTCTAGGTAGTAAGAAGCGAGGAGAACAAAAACTATATTTTTTCAAGAGTAAACGAAAGACCGTAACGCACGGATAACTATGCGGCGCGAGCTCCACCCTGGCTGAAGATGTGTACGTTCACACGCCGCATCAGCAGCAGCAAGTGGCAATATTGAAGCCACTGCATTGGCTACTGGAGCAGCTATGACATGCTGTCGAATCTCGCATGGCCTGCCTTGTTCGCTAGTGGCTGGCTGTAATTTGATTTGTAGGGCGTGCACGGGGAATGCCTTCTGTCCGCAGAAAAGAAGTCCTCCTATAGGGACTCCCATTGAGTCTTCAGTGCTCCTCAGCGCCGCGGACTCTGCCTCGGGCGAAAGCAAAAGAGAGCGCAGCAGCTCTCAAACGAAAAGACCCCTCACCTCTACCACCAGCGGGGAGTCGGAACTCAACTATTCCCACATTCCTCTGGCTGAGCCAGTCCTTGGCTTGCTGGTTCACAGGATCAAGGAAATGCAGGCCAGAAGGAGTTTTCTTGGCCTCCGCAGTGCATGAAGGGGCTCATGCTTGGCGCAGCCTGTGAAAGATCGGCTATTGCGTTGTGTCTATCGCTAAGAAAGTGTGCGCTGCTTCATCCCTTGTGCGGTGTGTGGCTTGGCCGTGGCAAAATCGTGCAGCAACAGGGCTGTCGTTCTCTTGCCGCTGGCAGCGGTACTCGTTAAAGTCCTCAACACAGTCTTCTTAGCTGAGTGTGGCCTGCATGCAAGTAATTCCCTCTTCTTCTAGCCCTGAGTTCCCAAGATCTATGCTGAATTCCCTCGCCCTGTTTTTTTATGTCTGACTCGGCTCGCTAAGACTAAAGTTTGAATTCTCTCTGCGCCTTTGCGCGTTACATTTCGTTCACCACCCCGCCTTTTTGTGGGCTGTATCCCTTGACCCCTCCTGCTGGCCGCATTGCCACCCTAGAGAGACCCCATAGGCACATCCCCTAGCCAGCCCAGCCCCCTCCTTTCTATTAGTTCCATTGTTGCGTGAAGTGAAATTCCGCAGCAGCGGCAAATACAACAGGAGAAGTGGGTCTGTGCTGCACTTCTCGCATTCGGGGGTCTGTATGAACTCCTCTGAGTTGTGAAAACCGAACAGAGAAAAATGAAACAAAAAAGGGGCTGGCGCTCTCCCGGTTCCTTCGCAGCAGCACGACCGCGCGGGGCGTGACAGGCAAACGAAAAAGAGAGATAAGCAGCAGCAGCAGCCAGCCTCGGAATGACAACCATGCCTATACAGAGGCGACGGCAACAGTCTTGATTGGGCGGCTTGGTGTGGCAACACCGGCACAACGAGGAAGACAGCGAAGGGTGTACATTGCAGCAACAGCAGCTGCTGCTCCCGCTACAGCAGCAGCCGCAAGTTCCCCTGCTGCTACAGCTGGTGCTACTGTTGCTGCAATGACTGGTGCTACTGTTGGCGCGCCAGCTACTGCTACTGCCGATGTAGCAGCTGCCCCGGGGGGTGCTGCGGCAGCAACAGAAGCGCTGCAGCAGCAGCAGCCACGCGCCAATACAGCTGCATTCAGGCCCTTTGCTTTGCTTTCTCCATTCCTCTCTCCGTGATTTTCCATTTCGTCAAATTTGACAAGGGCTATTAAGAAACGGAAAGCGGGAGGGGACTGCTGCATAAGCAGCGTTTCCCACTGCCTTTAAAGCAGCAGCAGCAGCTGTAGCTGCTGCTGCAAATAGATGGCTGCACTGCTGCGTCCCGGCTCTCGAGGTGTCCTGGGCTGTGTGGTTGGTTGTTATGTCTCGCCCGCTTGCTTAGTGAGTGAATTGCCAATAGAGAGAACATAGGCTACTATATATCCATAGGCACGTACGCATCTCTATTAATACATGTGTTCATGTACATGCGTTCATATATACATATATTCGCGCGCATGCATCTGTGCGCATAGGAAACAGCTCATGTGCACATCCATATATAAATATTCCTATGTATAGGTTATGACTGGGACTAGAGGTCGGGGTTGTTCCACCGGGAGTCCGGGGAGAACATGAACGCGGTGACCCTGACGAGCTCACCGCCTGCCCAGACACCCTCTAGCTGGTGGCCAGTGGCGAATCTGAGGGTGCCGTTTCCCTCTTTTCTGCCCTGCACGAATTCGCCCTCGTAGCAGCTGCCGTCTTCTGCGCAGTAGAAGGTGCCGAGGCCGACGCGTTTGTCGTCGGCCCACTGGCCCTCGTACTTGTTGCCGTTGGCGTACTGGAAGACGCCGAAGCCGCAGGCCCTGTCGTCCACCCACTCGCCTTTGAACCGGTCCCCGTTGGAGTAGATCAGCTCGCCCTCGCCGTGCTTCTTAGCGTCCACCCACTCCCCCACGTACTTGTCACCGCGGGAGTAGGTGAGGGTTCCCTTGCCGTGGACCCGGTCGGCTTTCCAGTAGCCCTCGTACTTCTCACCGTTGTGGTAAGTCAGCACCCCGTAGCCCTCCTTCATGTCGTTTGCCCACTCGCCGTCGTACTGGTTGCCGTTGGGAAACACGTACTTGCCTTTGCCGTGCATTTTGCCATCCATCCAGTCACCCTCGTACTCCCCCCCGTCGCTGTACGTGTACTTGCCGTGCCCGTGCATTTTGCCGTTCACCCAGTCGCCGTCGTACTTCTCCACGATGGCCCCCTTGGCACCCACGTAGACCACCACGCCTTTGCCGTGCCTCTTGTCGTCTCGCCACTCCCCCGTGTACACGTCTCCCTCTTTATAGCGGTAAGTGCCGCGCCCGTGCATCTTCCCGTCCACCCACTCGCCCTCATACTCGTCGCCGTTCGAGTACTTCAGCTTTCCGTAGCCCGAGATCTTCCCCATGTCCCACTGGCCCTCGTACACGTTCCCGCTCGCGAACACCGCCACACCCTGCCCGTGGATTCTGTCCTCCACCCACTTGCCCTGGTACGTGGCACCATCTGCGTATTCGAACCGGCCGTTGCCCTCCCGCTTTCCAAACACGAAGTCGCCCTCGTACTTCTCATTGCCCGAGTACAACAGCGTCCCATGACCGTGAAATAACCCGTCCTTTATCTGCCCGTGGTACGCGTGGCAGCTCTCCACCATCTTCGCTGGCTGGCTGATACACGGCTTGCTAGCGGGGCAGTTTGTCGGTCTAAGAGCTGATTATGCAAACTGCAGCGGTTGAGTGGACGGTGGCTTGCGCCTACTTCCAGGTTGCTGCGCTGCTGAGCACGCTCAAGGCTCGTCCGAAGCTAGACAGCGGCCACGTCCTGCAGATCCACGACCCTAGGAGAGACAAAGCAAATAATGTATCTAAGTCTCAGCTCAATGTCACCCGAGCTGCACAGGCAGGCGAGGCCCCCACGGACGCCCACCAGCGACTGGGCCAGTGACGCGCCGACTAGGACTCGAAAAGAGGAGCAACACGGTATTGCTTAGAATTCTACGGTGGGGGGACGAAGACACTGCTGCTGCTGCTGCAGCTGCTGCCGCTGTTGCTTCTGCGTCCTTCCCCGCCGGCCTGGCCACAGCCGAGAGACCGCCGGAACCGCTCTCCCCGTTCTCTGTGGCTGCAGAGCCAGTCTGCGTTTGAATATAAATTCAAATGAAGTCAATCAATATCTTTGAAGGAAAATCGCAAGAGAAAGAGCCAAGAGAAACGCGAACGAGCCACGCACACAGCAGACCCGCCTTCGGCAGCCTCGCCGGCCGCGCGCAAAGTGAAGGCTGCTGGGTGTATTTGGCGTCAGAACAGAGTAAATAATCCCCAAAATATATGAAATAAGAGCGCTTGCTGCTGCCGATAAACGCGAGACTTCCCGTTTACCCCCCCCCAGTCTCTCCCGTTGCATCAGGTGGGTGCGGTTGTTGTGAACCCAGCCAGAGGCCCCTGCTTTAGCGATGATGGCTTCTTTGTGCCCATGCCGGCTTGTGGCTCCTTCTGTAGAGCTTTAATATTTAAACTTTTGTCTGCATTTTAATATTTCTGTTATGCCTAGCTGCGCAACAGTAGGTTTGGGAGAGCTTATGCGTGGATGTAGGGGCCACATGAGGCAGCAATTAGACGAAAAGTGTGAAGTTCTGGGCATGTAGATACACAAAGAGGAATGATGAGTTGTCCCTCCCACGCAGTAGGATTTTTAAACTGAGTTGCAGTGGCAGGAGCAGCGGCGTCTCTCAGTACGTTCAGAGCCTTCTTGCATATTAGGTTAACCCTGGCTGTGTAGCGTGGCTGCACTGGTAGCATGCCAAAACCCAGGAAGGAAATCGCGTAGAAAAATATCTCTAGTGATTCCTGCTTACAAGCTCTCTTCATGAAACTCTTTGTGGGCGAAGACCCTGGAGCAACCGCTCAATGTCGCTACTGAGCCGCGCTCAGGTCACTATGCATGCGTCCTGGAAAGAGCGAAAGTAATGGTTTTTCAGTGTCTACATTACTTAAAGGATCGCTTTGACTCTGAAGCTGATGGCAAAGCTCTCAAGGTATTTATTCTGTTGCAGAGTCTACTGGGAGTAGGTCCCCGTGGCCTTTTCCGATATTTATGTCCATACAGTAATACCCCATGAAAGGACAATACGAGCCAGGGAAGAGACCACCATGGGCACCACTGCGCAAGTAAACAAAATGCAGCGGTTTACATGGGCTTCCATTTTGCTGCACCAAATAACGGCCCCGTGGCGGCTGCAAACGGCATGCATGTACGGTTACGCAGGCATAATAATCTATTCGTCCCAGCTAAACCCCACGCTGCTACGCATGCCACCGCACTAGACAGTGCACTCTTCTAGCACGCTTCCTTAAACAGCTTGCGAAGCCGACACACACACATTTGCCACTGCTGGCTAGAGTCGCTGTGGCGAGCTGAATCTAGGGAAAATTCTCGGTTCACTAGACCGCAAGGAACGCAAAAAAGTTGCATTTGTGGACATTTGCAGTCTGCCTCGTGCTTGTTCCATAGCACTGCGATGAGATTAGATACAGTCAACTCACCCTCCATGTGGATAGGCGCAGCTCGTTAGGGCCTCTTCTGTCTAGCCATAAGCCTTCTGCCCGGAATTGCCTCGTTGATGTGTCTGGCACATGAGTGGGCGACTGAGTGCAGCTGCGGGAGCCATGTCTTCTCTTAGCCCTTAAAAGACCTTTGTGAGATAAAGTCAGCGGATCCAAGAAACGCTTTACGTGCTTTCAATGCGAAGAAGCGGAAATGCTTCGAATTGGGCCTTTGTGTTGGGTTAAGACGCCATTATCTCATGCTGAGGAACACAGCACAGTACATTGAAGGTCCAATTCACGCGCAGAAGCCACTTTTGGTCACTTTGTTATGGAAGAGATCTAGGCGTGCGTGCAGTATACGCTCGAAGCTGTCTGCTTAAAAGTCTGCTGCCCACAGGACAGCCTTTTCCAGAGACAACCACCTCACTGTGTCAGGGCTTGGGAAGAAGGCTTCCGTCGATCGCGTATTTCTTTTATGAGTGTCATCTTACTGCCAAGTCAAGTCCTGTGGTCCTGACTGCCACCGCTACTCCTATTTGTGTCCTTTCCTTTGATAAGCCCAAAACCCCAGCGGTTTAAATTCGTCTTAGAACTCGCGCTGTAGTAGGAACTGCGGCTTGGGGTGGCGCAGTAGCTGCAGCCGTGCAGTTGCAGAAGGACGGGGGAAAAACATGCTCGCTTATTTGCCTGTTGCTTTGCGGCCGAAAAAATGGAAAGGATCACGTTCGACGGACGAGGAGTCCACGGCCACTGCAGCGTAGAGGCCCCAAATCCCCCTTATCTGCACGTTTCTGCCCTTTTGTCGACCTGGGGCATTTTGTAAGCCCAAACGCGTTTCATGAAATGCTGCAAACAGCACGGGAGAGCCTCTTTTGCCGTTGGAAATTAAAGGGCAGGTGAACGTTGTTCATTTAGGCCACCAGATCCAATCTGCGATTATGATGAGCCTTTTCATTGGGGGAGAACAGAACGCCTTATTGGCGCCTGTGGAGCGGCAGTATGAGAATGAGGACTGCTGCTTCTACTGCGTATTGAACGAGTGGCCTTTTGTGGCTTGGGCATCGGAGCAAGGATACTGTTGCTTTCGGTTATGCTGCAAAGGATTGCGAGTTACCGTGCAAACCGTTTGTTCGGGAGTGCAAAGCAACAGCTGCGTCTGCCTGTTGCTGTGAGCCCTACAGTGCGCTGCCTGTGTCACTCCAGCAGCAGCTGCCTGCTGTTGTTGTGAGCCCTACAGGGTGCTGCCTGTGTCACTCCAGCAGCAACCACCTAGAGCCAGCCAAGCAGCCCAACAGCTTTGCTAGATCGCTGCTGCTGAAGCAATGCAGCTGTTCTGCGCAGCAGATGTGAACTCACGGAGCAGCAGCAAGCAATTCTGCAAAGTAGCACTAGTGAATTAGATAAACCAAGTTTACCGAAACCCAAACAGTGATTATGAAGGTGTGAGAGGCGCCGGCGAAACACAAAGTTGACACACACAGCACAGAGGTAGCTGAAGCAGCACGCTGACGGCCCCACAGGCTGACTGAAGCCCGCCAAAGAGGACGGAATAAAACTGACAAGCACCCAGAGGGTACGAAGAAAAGACACAAACAGAGACAAAAAGACGCAAGCTGAATGACAAAGTGCTGTACGCAAGCCTGGGCACAAAAGCAGCAACAAATTGGCAGTTCTCCCTGTCTTAGGACAGCCACATTGAAGGAAGAACACCACAAACGCCATTACGCCTAAGAGCTGCCAGCCGCCGCCTGTGGGCCTCGGGGTCCAGCGGAGCTTCAGGGACTCCTGGGGACCCCGATGCCGCTGCCGAGGATTGGACTGACCCCAAGCCTGACAACGCGATGGGTTTGGAGATGCACCTGGAAAGGTCAGCAGCAGCTGCTGCTCCAGGGGCTGCCGCTGTACCTGCTGTGCTACTTCTTGCTGCTGCTGCAGTTGCTGCCGGAGCTGCAGCTGCTGCTGCAGTTGCTGCTGGAGCTGCAGCTGCTGCTGCAGTTGCTGCTGGAGCTGCAGCTGCTGCTGCAGTTGTTGCTGGAGCTGCAGCTGCTGCTGCAGTTACTGCTGGAGCTGCAGCTGCTGGTGCAGCTGCTGCTGGAGCTGCAGCTGCTGCTGGAGCTGCAGCTGCTGCTGGAGCTGCAGCTGCTGGAGCTGCAGCTGCTCCTGCAGCTGCGCCTGTAGCCCTTGGTGCTGCTGTGGCACCACCTGCTTCGGTCATTGCAGTTGCAGCTGCTGCTGCGGCGGGTGTCGTACTTGGCGCTGCTGCAGAAAAGTATGTTGGAGCTTTCCACGTCCCTTCGTCATCTGATTCGAAGCCGTAGAACACGGAAGGACGAACTGGAGCTATTGGAGGCCCACTACTCTGTTGCAATGCTGCGCAGTCTCTTTCAGCCGGAGACACACCTCGGGCAGCAGCAGCAGCAGCAGTCATTGCTGCTGCATCACGCAGCAAGCCTGCTGCCGCCGCATCTGACCGTGCACTTCGCCGTTTGCCTCTTTCTCTCTCGGAGGTTGTAGCGCTGAGGCCTCCGTCCCCCTGAGGGGCAGCAGAGGATGCTTGGGCGCTCCACGCTACTTCTCTGCACCTAGCAGCAGCGGCAGCAGCAGGATGTGCCTGCTGCTGCTGTTGCTGCTGCAGAAAGTTCATCGTCGCCGTTCCAGAAAAAAACTGAAGGGGTGCAGCAACAGGCTGTGGGGGGAAGTGATGGGGCTTTTGCTGCCACTTAGAAGCTGGCCCTCCTGGTGCCGCTGCACTTGAAGTTGTTACTGCTGCTGCTGCTGCTGCTGCTGGTGCAGCGGCGCGTGTAGGCGCCCTTTCCCCATTTCCAGCCTTGCCTTTTGTTCCAGCTGCAGGGGCTGGGGCCTTGGGCCCAATAGATGGTGCTGCTGCAGCCTCTGATGCTGTTTCTGCTGCTGCAGAGGGAGCTGCTTTTGCTGCTGGCAGCGGCTTCGGAGCACCTTTAGGGACGCAAACCCGAATGACAAAGGGGCGGCTCTCGCACAGGAAGTCGTGGGCCACTGGGCCGGGACTGCAGCAGCACCAGCAGCAGCAACAGCAGCGGCAACCGCACGATAAGCAGCAGAAGGGATACTCCACAGAGGCTGGGGGCCA